ATAGAAATTAGAAAGCTGCACTCGGCTCTTTTCTCCTCGGCCTCAGGTAGCGGAACACGTGTTGGCGTGTTGGCGTGTTGGCGAGGCCCTTTTCTGGCTTACTGTGCTCTGTTTGACCGCAACGTCCTGTCCCATCACTTGACATGCTAATAGACTTCGCCGGCAGAGTACGGCCAACGGATGATCCGTGCATTAAGTCACATGACCGACGGGTTTCGCTCAGCATGCTAATGGTGGTTAGCTCACAGCGGGCCGGTATCTTGGAACCTTTCGCCTGCACGCGTCTGCCGGAGGTGTTTCTTTCTTTTGCAGAAAAGCAAAGTGACTCGATGACGCTTTCTGTTCCCTTTCCTCTCCACCGCTCTCAGCTTTGCTTTACAGGAAAAGGCCTGACCAAGTGAGAGGACCTCTAGAAGACACGTGACAAGCACGGCCACCAGAGCAGAAAGATTCAGGGACACACACACACACACACACACACACACTCTGTGAGCAGCGAACTCACTGGACATCCCCTCCTTTAGTTTACTGCACACACTGCTTAGGAGTAGAGGCTAATTACGCTCCAAAGGAGCTGAGGTCTGACCCCAGGAGAAGGTCGGGTGACATGGGGTCCACGCTGAGGAAAGGACAAGTGGGAATGGGGGGGTTTCATCTGGGAATCAGCTCCACCCAGGTCTTTTTCCTCCTGTAGGTTTTCTTTAGGTCGGCCCTTCTGTTTTCTATTCAGTTTGATGGACTTGCAAGACCTCCCTCCCTCCATCCCTCCCTCCCTCTTTCCCTCTCTCCTGAGCAACACCAGGGGGACAGAGAGGACAGGGAGGACAGCGTGCAGCCAAGCAGAGAGCCGCGCTGCGGCAATCAGTGCTAAAGAGGTCGGGAAAGGTCGCCGCGCGGCCGCTGGTGCCCGTTGACTGGGAACGAGCCGCGGCCGAGCCTGGAGAGGCCGCCTAACGAGGGGGGGCGGCGGACTGGAGGGGGGGGGGGACGGAGCCTGAGCACATGGCCTTTCGGCGCATGGCACACTGGTAAAGGAAGTCCATGTCGGATTGCTCCACTTTCCCGAACGAGCTGATCTCGGGTTGTTTTTATTTTTATTTTTGGCGCTTCTGTTCTTTTCCCGTTTTCTCTTTTTAACTCAACCGAAATCGTTGGAGGCCAGGAGTAGATGCTCAAATTCGCCCTGTCTTTGGGAGCGGGGGGGAGTCCCGCAGTCGCCTTTTTATTTGTAAAAGGGGCGGACGCGGCGCCCCCCCCCCCCCCCGCCCCCCCAAACAAACGAGAGACGGGAGCAGCGGATGAAGCCTCGGCGCTCCTGGTTGTGCTCTGCAGCTCCCTCCTCTCCTCCTCTGTGGTTGATTGACAGGTAACGAGCAGATCTAGGTCATCTCAACGCTGTGTTTTCAGATTCTCAACATCAGCATCCACCGCGGCGGGTGAACAGCGCCCGTTGGTCCCGCCCATCCGCAGGTGAGACGTCTCGCGCGTCCTGTCAGTCGGATTGGATCCCAGCGCTTCCCCCCCCTTTCCGCTCAGGTAGTGATTTCAAATAAAAGAATGTTTAACAATATTACTCGACTTCTTAAATGTGGTTTGTCGGTGAGAAATTCACAACCACAATGTATTAACTTCTGTTCTATTTATATCTTCATTTCGCTCCCTTGAGTTCTGCACCGACACACCAAAGCAAATCATTTGCATGTGAAACCTACTTGGCATCAAACCAGTTGAAAGAGTCTGCGTGTCCCCTCAGCATCCTAATCAAGCCACGGATGAAGAGCAGACACAGACGCCTCCTCCTCCTCCTCCTCCTCCTCCTCCTGCTGCTGCTTTTCCCACCCAAGTCCCAGGCACCATTCCACCATCACAGTTGGGGTAACTGTGATGGTGGAATGCTGCCTTCTCCTGTATGTCGGGATCTGGCACGAGGCCTCGCCGCTTCTGTCCTCGCTGAATGGAGGCCGAAGTCGGCGAAGGGGAGACGACGGTTCGACTGGACCTCTGGGGGGCGACTTTTGGAGGACGTGATCTTTTCCGAGGAGCGCTCCGGTAAACGAGCCTCAGCTCACCCGTCGGCAGAAACAACGTTCGGCAGAGGCTGAGGAGAGCAGCGAGCGGTAGCCTTTTATCACAGGTGTGTTTATGGAAAGCAGAAACTAACTCGAAGGCAGACGCCAACGAGGAGGTGATCAAACTTCCCATGAGCACAAGTTCATCCATAAACTTCAGCTCTCCGGTTTTGTTTCGACCGCACAAGATGAAAGTGGAACGTGTGAACAAAGCTTTGTGGAGATGATTCTCTACCCATTATCCCGTGAAGCTACGCGACTTTGCTTCAGATGCTGGTCTCTTGTGAAGATGAAGCACGAGATCGATTGAGTTTGTGGCCTCGCAAGCTCCGACTTTCTGGCTCCCTCGACACACGGCCTGAGAGAACGTTGTGCTTCCCTCCCCTCGTCCTCCGTGGGACACGTAGTTAACATATCGAGGTTCGGTGTGCAGACAGATCCTAATATGGATCTGACGCTCGCTCTCTTCTGGCGTTCGTGGGGGGGCCTCCGCTCTGCGACGGGTGACTAATGAGCCTCCTCGCAAGCTTCCCTGCAGGCCTCTGTGAGCTCACCATTAAGACGCCTGCTGCCTGGGCGCCGGAGGTGGGGGGGGGAAACCCGGCTAATTCTCTTACATCGATAACCCGAAAGGGGAAAACCTGCAGCTCGGGGCCAAAGTTCTGCTTCGGTCGCACACTCGATGAGGGCAGGAAATTAAAAATACTGCCCGTCGACTTGCTGTGGCTTCTGCCTCCCAAAGTCAACAGCTCACGTGGAGTGACGCCATCTTCGGCAGGTCGCTGCCCCGAAAAAAATGACAATACACGTGGACGCGTAGACTGAGATTAAAGCGGTGGGTTGTGGGCTTGTGTGACCACAGTCATGTGGTTATGGGACCACAGAAAAGCTCATCACCGGTTCATCTGCCCATTATTCTCTCAATAAATCAGCAACTGGAGAATGCATTATTGTTAGGGAACAAAGATGGTGAAATCACACATCGTCACTAAATATTCACTCAGCTAAAACCCCGTTTAGTCATTCCTCTGGAAAACATGGAGGGGATTATTATGCAGTCTGTAGAACCATATGAACTATGAGCCTTAAAGCTTGTGTATGATGACTTACACAGTGACGCATGTTTGCCAGTCAAATGGCACCGTTCGCTTTAATTGAATCAATTATTCCCTCAGAGGTCTCTCATGGCGAGGTCACGTGACCGGGCCGCCTGACTCGGCGACGGACCCGCACATGGGGCTCGGCTCCTGCCTCCATTACGGCGCTGGCGTCACCGCCCGCTCCGTCGGCCCTCCGCCCCGTCCGTCCGCTGCGAGGTGCAATCCGTCGGGGCCGCGTGGCCTCCATTAGCGCGCCTCCGCGGGGACCAGCCGGCCTCTGAAGCGCAGCACTCAGGGAGCCTGGCGCTTTACCCTAACAGCTTCATCAGCTGTGCATCGGGTGAGCCACGCGCACACGCACACGCAAACACGCAACCTCTGGAGGGCCCAATTAGGAGCCATCACCTGTAATTCAATAACAACACTCAGCCCTTTGTTGCAGCCTCTCTTTTGCATCGGCCGTGCGCTTTTTTTTTTAAAAAGGGGGACGACTTCGTCAAAACGCAAATCCAAACGGATCAACGCGTCCTCCAACAGGAGCGACATTTAACAACAACAACAACAACATGTATGTAGATGTATCTGTGTGCAGAGATATACAGATATATAATAATATAAAGCAATCCAATAAACTCAAAGGGAACTCTTTCGCAAATTCACTAACTAACAAAATCTTCTCAAATAATTAAGATTCTAAGTTCAGAATCTCACTTGTTGTTGTTTGTAGACGACAAAATTGACCAATCGCAGTGAAGTAGGCGGACAAGCGGCGGCCGAGAGGCCTTCGAGGGAGAAAGTGGGAGAAAGAGACTCAGGTATTACTCCCATAATGCCTTGCACTAATTCTCTCTTCCACTCCCACCTGTCCTGCTGCTGTACCCGCCGGGGGTCTCTGGGGGGTCTTTAGTGGCCCCTCCTCACACACATGTCCCCCACACACCGACGCATGTCTCCTGAGAGCGCCGGGGCTGCTGGGACCGTCTGTAGGTGTTTGTTCCACCCTGCGAGGACTAATTGGTGTTACAGAGCTTCAGAGTGAAAAACTGTCAGAATCAGCAATCACAGAAATCGCGCGTAAACGTGACTTAAAGAGATAAACAGGTCGGGTTCTCTGTTCAAGATGTGAACGTGTTTGCAGAACATTCGATTCAAAGGCCGGAACTGTCAAAATCTTTTCTCTTATCTGTCAATCAATTAACAAAGTCGTTAAATCTTGATTCCTAACGACACGCGGAGCTTTTTTCTAAAATGCAGATCAATATTTCGCTGAGGTCAGAATCTTTTATCCACTTCGTCATTCCCTCCCCTTTGTCCCCAGCTCGCCTCCACCTGTTCTCTCTCGGGTTCACCTCCGACACCCGTCAAGCTAAATGAAAGCGAGCGGAGCGAACGGGAGGGGTGGTGGTGGGGGGGGAGGAGGGCGGCGCCCCCCAGCAGCGGTTCTCACCGGTTCTCCTCTGAGCCCGAGGAGCAGAAGGAGGGGAAGAAAAACAACAGAGAATGGAGGATATGCAAATTGTTCCACCACCAAAGAAGACGGGGAGGAGTTTCCCACCGCTCAGTGTGAAAAGCCCCCCCTCGGACCCCCCCCCAGCCCCTCCCACGCACACAGGACTTTGAATGAGACTCTTTCTTTCGACACACACTGGCCGACATGCACACATAACCCACACAAACAGACCAAAATAATTTAAAAAAGAAAAGACTCATTAAAGATTCATGCAAATGCAGCAACACGTTTAAGATGGAACTCCTAACACACACACACACACACACACACACACACACACACAAACACACAATCACACACACGCACACACTGGATGGTCAGCAGCAGAATAAACCGGGTGAGCGGCACACGGTGTTGAATAAAGTTTTAGCTGTCAGCTCGCCGGGGGTTGGGGGGTTGGGGGGGTTAGGGGGGGGGTCCCTGCAGGTGGCGGCGGGCAGGTTGCCTGCTGGAAACGGGGGGAGTACGAGAGCTCGGCGCTTCCCCTGAGGTTTGACGCACCGGCGGCGCTGGAGGGAATTCTCAGTTCTGGTTCCACATTTGGCCTTTTTGTTTCGAGCGTGGGAGGCAGCGAGCGAAACGCCACCATCATTTCCAAAAGGCCTTTGAAGTTGAGAGGAGGATTTCGGCTTTACTCTAGTTCACTGTGGAGAAACGTCCTCCGGGCGGTTTAATGTCCGAGGGCTCGGCATTGAGTCGCAGCCAATCATCTCCCCCGTGGGCGGGACGTTACGGCGCCCGCCGCCGCGCTCATGTGGCTCCTGGTGCTCCGTTGACCTCTGACCCCCTCCCGCGGAGGCCCGGCCTCCAACACCTGCGCTGTCGACCGGCGCCTTGCGGTTCATACGTTTACCGAAGCCGCGCGCGCTTTGCGCTGACTGACGCGGCGCGTCGCTCTCGGTTCGGTAGTGAATCAAGAGGGCGGCAGCGCTCCGCTTCCGCTAAAACCTCGACTAAAAATAGCTCCCCGCACCGCCGCGGTGATGAGCAGCGGGGGACGAACCACACCTGCGTGATAACAAGCACGCCTCCAGCTGACGCTTTCGCTCGCTCAGCCCCGTTCGGGGCTCCTTTGTTGTCGAGGCGACTGAGCCACTTTCGCGTTGAAACGACGCGCTTCGAAAAATCTGGTCGCCCGTCAAGGTGCCTTTTTCATCCACGGCGACGGCGGGAAACCGGCTGATTTGCCCCTAACGGGCGACCCGTGTGGATGCATGTGGATCCAAAACAAGCGGGCCGCTGTTGTTATGCAAAGCCCCCAGCAAAGTAGCAGTTTCTCACCTTGATGCTGACACACACACACACACACACTCTCTCTCTCGCACACACACGCACCAACGCACACACACTCAATTAGTCGCAGCAGCAGCAGCAGCGTGGACGCACCTCCCCCTCTGGACCATAAAAGGCGATGGGAGGGGTTAATGCTGACTCGCTAAAGACATCCTGTAGTGCTTTGTCATTCCACAGGCCCATTTGTGCAGGGGAAAGACACACACACACACACACACACACACACACGCGGCCTCAGGCTGTTGGGCAGAAGGGGAAAGTAGCGTGAATGACCAGTGGTCATGGATCAATTAGCAGCTACTGTTGACCACAAGCACGGCTAACAGCACTCAGGACCCACTTCTTCCCTCCTGACGATCTGCCAACTTGCAGAAGGAACAATTCAAATATTCACCGCACACACAAAAACAGAAGAGAGGTAACCAGGTAACCGCGGCAGCGGTGGCGTTTCAAAGGCTAGCTGTGGTCATTTGGGAAGCAGACCAGCTGACAAATATCACACAAAAGCTCTCGGTTTCTTGGGAGGAATCATTCAGCAACAGAAGAGACAGAAGAGGAAAGACAGAAGAAACGTCTTCAGGGTCGACGGTGAGGTGACCCCCCCCCCCCCCACGGAGGTCGTTCTCATAACATCATGCAAAGCTCGCTTGTTCAACGCTGCATTAACGCCGCGTCTGCGGCGGAGCGCTGAATAAATACCGCAAGAGAGGACGCCGCTCGCCTGACGGCATCAAACGCCCGGCGCGCTGATCAAAGGGCCCTCTCGTCCAAAGAGACGGCGGCGCTCCTCCAACGCAGCGATTTCAAAGCGCTTTCAAATCGACAAAAGTGTTTCCCGCCGACCCGGTGGGGAAGTTACAGAAAACAACAATGTCCACCCGAGCCGACCAAGACGCATTTCAGACGCGTTCTTCTCGCGGCATCCGCCTCCTCAAAGGCCTCGATTGGCGCTCCGCAGCTGATGGCGGCGGGTCGCTGTTTGGTGTATCTCTGTGCGCGAGGACGACGCCCTCTTACTCCACCGGCGGCCCGGAGAGGAAGGCCGCGGAGCTCTAGAACTACCATGCTGAATTAAAAAAAGAAAAACACGCTCGACAAATATCTCAAGAGCAAAGTGCGACCTTGAGGATTCACGCACTGTGGCAGGCGACACCGACATAACACGACACCTGACCCCCCCCACCGCGCCCGCAATCCTCCAGGAGGCCCCCGGCGGGTTTGGAGGTGTACCAGCAGTCCAAGTGTGGGAGCGGGCCGCCGTGTTTATCCTGTCGAGGTATGTTAACACCGTACCGTCTGCACTCCCGTAGTCCCTAAATCGCAGTGTTAGATTACGGCCCAGCTGAGAGCGCGCACGCACGCAAACACGGGCCGCTTTTGAAGCCCGAGGAATGGCGTTGGATGACGGCGCCGTGGCCAAAAGGGGCCGCCGTGGGGACAACCTGCCATTTTCCGGAAGAAGAGGAGGTCGACGTGCGACGGAGCTCAAAGTTCATCCGCGACCAAAAACACCTCGGCATCTCGTGCTGCGGACGCCGCTTTAGCTCAGGTCTGCCTCAATGAGCGTATTCATTGAGGCAAAAACAAGCAGCGGGAGACAAAAGTGGGCGTGGCGATGGCGAGACGAGCCTCGTCACTCAGGGTGTCAGATGTCGCCGGGTTGGACTCACCCAAAAAGACGAGGATTCAAGAGAGTTGAGATGGATGTTGACACCTGGTAGTATTTAGTTTGTGATGTGAGTGATGCAGACTGTTGATCTTAAATGACATGACCTGGAAGAGGATAAATCTCTAACCAGCAGGATAAAATAAAATAAAAACCAGCATAAAATAAAATGCCAACTTTTACAGTGTGTACAGGCTTTTTATCCGGTTAGTTAAAACATGTATTTTCACTACTATCTGAAATTCTACAGACAACACGATGAATAAATGTGCCTGAAAAGGTCCGATTCAGAGCTGTCAGGCGATGCGTCTCGATGAAACCCGACATCACCGAAGGTGTTTTTGGTGACAGAACTGTTGTGATTATTACAAGCGAGAGAAATCCGGGAGCTTTCGTGGCGTGAACGAGGCTGGTTTGCCACGTCACGGTGACGACGCACCGGCACGAGCTAGAATGAGAAATAAGAAAATCCAAAAGGAGCGCCGATAAATCAGGAGGCGCGTTCGAGCGTCCGCGCGCGCTGAATCACGGCACCTTTTTCTTTTTTTGTTGCCATCTTGATCGCGCGCCCCGTCACGTGGGCGCCCCCCCCCCCCCCGTTATAATCTCATCTGTAGGTGTGACGTTTGGTGAAATGCAACACAACCACAGCCCCCCGACCCCCCCCCCCCCCCCCCCCCCCTCCACCAGGTGTGCGCCTCACACCGCGGTGTTGAAAAATACACCTTTTCTATAGGTGTTGCATCACCTTGCGCGTACCTGTCTGTCTCCGTGTCCATGAATTAAATAAATAAATAAAGCCACAACCCCGCCTTCACTGCAGTAACGGTACTGACCGCCATGCCCCCCCCCCCCCCCCCCCCCCCCCCCCCCCCTCCGCGCGCACCGCCCGGGCTATTGTATAACGAATTACCGCAACACAATAGGTGGAAACGGGAGGTTTTCACGGTGAGCTCCGAGCGCGCTGTTACTGCACACGGTGTGTGTGTGTGGGGGGGGGGGGGGGGGGGGCGGGATAAACCACCTTATGCACCGATGGCTTTACGTGCAGAAACTCGCGCGGGGCTGCACGAGACCAAAGAAGGCGACCAATCCACACACACACACACGCACGCGCAGTGCAAAAAAAAAGCAACAAAAAAAAAACACATAGAAGGGAAGGTAAAACATGCAGAAGTGGGTCAGAAAAATGCGTGACGATGAGATAAATCCCGCGAGAATAACGGGGGGGGGGGGGGGGCGAGCGTCCATGCGAACTACAAAAAAAAAAAAAAAATCATCTCTACCTGCACAAGTTGACATTTGGAGCGTTTTTCTGCGGCTCCTCGGGAGACACGCAGCCTTCGGGGGAAACGGCGGGCGGATCCGGCTCCGTCAACGGTCGAGAGCCGCAGGTGTTATTTCTCTTTATTTCTAGGCCGTTTGTCAGCCCGTTATCCGCGTTCAGGTAAACATGATGACGACGACGGCGACGATGATGATGATGATGATGATGATGGCTCCTGAGCGGACGCACAGAGTCACCGTCGTGTCGTCACCAGGAGAGAGAGAGAGAGGGAGAGAGAGAGAGAGAGAGAGGGTGCTTTCCGGCCCCTCTGATTGTGCCTCGTAACGGTGAATAAAAATAAATATATGGGTATACCTTTTTATTGGCTGGTGCGATGGCAGATGGGGGCGGGGGAGTACAGGTAAGATCCGACCAATCAGAGTCTCTGGCTGCGGAGGGTCGTGTACATTTAAAACTACCGCAAAATCCGACACCTGCATTCTTGTGTGAACGTCCTTTAACGTTACGTCACAGCAGGTGGACTTAAAAAAATACTCTTATCATGTGACAGGATGCTGCGACCGCCCGGAGGTGGTTGTTTTAGTGATATTACAGACATCGAGTCGATATTAGAGGATTATTACAACACATCACCACGCATACAAACAAACACAGACTGAAAGTCCACGTTGTGTAATGAAGGAAAACATGAGTATTTCTCTTAAAGCCAAAGAGGCAGATAAAAATATTTATTTTCCGATATTGCCAAAAGTTCACCGACCCGAATTTACAAGTGCAACTTGTAACAGCCGAACACGTGCAAAACGAGCGACGCGCAACGCGCACAACAACAAAAAGCACGCCGACCGACTAAAAACGACGTTTCAACGGAGCTAAACTGGTGCACGCGAGGAGGAAACGCACGAAGATGCTTTCAACCAAATACTACAACGGGATCACACAACGCAACACAACGCAACACAACATCTACCCTCACCGCGACCGAGGAGACGTGTGGCGGTAAACATCACCGAGCAGCAGCGAACCGGACACAACAACAACAAACAAAAAACAAAAAACAACAACACTCTTCCACCATCCGGCCACAGACACGCGCGCACACACACACACACACACACGGGGAAAGCAGAGTTGTTTACAACGGGAGGGAGGACCGGGACGTCCGGGGCCGAGGGGGCTGCGCCTCGCAACAACCTCGCCCTAAAAAATACAAATAAAAGTCACACGCCGAACAACTACACGCTGCAGCTAACGGGCCACGTCGTTGTGCAAAAAGCCCCGCAACCTGCCGCCAAGTGCCGCTGCGCTGGGTGTGGGGTGAGTGGGGTGAGCAGGGGGTGTTGGGGGGAGGCGGGGGGGGGTCGTGTGTGGGGGGGGGGGGGGGGGGGGAAAATGGGCAAAAAAAAAGAAAAAAAAAGGGGGGAAAAAGAAGGAAAATCCCCGGGCGGCGGAGCCCAAAAGCGCCGAGCCCCCGCTCCAAAAAACGCCGGAAAAAGGGACTCTCCGCCCCGGGCAGGAAGCCTGGGGCACTCCGACCCAGATTTATGGTTATCCAACTCCTTACAAGATCACGGAGACTATTTTTTTTTACTCGTTGGTTAGATAACTGGAGCTCGTATCACACTCGCCGAAAGAGTGTAAAAAGACATCACCCCCGAGTAAAAGGGGAGGCGGAAAGTCGAGCGCCACCAGCTCTCTCCTTTATTTTCGCCTGTTTTCTGCGCTTACACCTGGGGCCATCCGCCATGATCCTCTCGCTGAGTCTGAAGCGCAGCCGCCCCGCTAGTCACCTCCTCCTCCTCCTCCTCCTGCCCCCCCCCCCTCCTCCTCTTCCTCACCCCCCTCATCACCCCTCCCTTCTCCTGGCCGCTTTACGACATCACCTTCCCTCCCCTTGCAAAAAGAAAAAAAAAAAACCCCCCTGGGTTGGGACACGCTGGCCGCGGTTACCGCGTCACCTTCTGCAACACCTCCGGGACGGGGGCCCTCCAACCGGCCGCACATGGCTGGCGGTTGTTTCCAAGCGGTGGTCCGCCAGCTCGGTCAAGGTCGTCCCGCGGATCGCTGCGGGTCTCTGTCCTTAACACAGACGGGGGAGATGCCGCAGCGGGGTTAGAAGCTTACACGCTGTAAAAACGGGTTATGAGGGGAAATTCATGATGTTGTTGATATACAGTTATGCTATTACTCGAGGTGCAGTAGTATTTTATTGAAGTTTTTACTTTTAAGTTATTATAAGTCAGTGTATGAAATAGAATATTTAGCATTTTACTTGTAAATATGGTATAAATAGTTCTTTCCCCCCGACTGAAGATACACCAAAATAATTGAGTAAATGTATTTATCCGCTGGACCCAGAAATGAACTTAAACAAACACATTCAGAAGATTATTTTGATTAGAATTAGAGCGCTATTTCCACAGTGTAAAAATACCCAAGTAACAGTATAGTGTGTCATAGCGTAGAGCTGTTGTAGGGGAGGTCATGTGAATATGCTATATATTTATTACATTTGATCCTTTCACCCGTACAGCAGCGAAGCCTCAAGCGGGGTTTCGTCCTCATGGGGGAGAGAAGTTGGGTGACAGTTCACAGCGGGTCAGGTGAGCGGCCTTCACAGTCCCGTCGGGCTATTCCTGTACCTGCCGACGATCAGGTTTCCAGTTCAGATGCACCAGGTGCTGCCGGTGCCCGGATATGGTGGGGCGGATAGGAGGGGGAGGGGGGGGGCAGAGAGCTTAAAATGATATGTTTTGTTATTTAATGTCAGCTGGTTGACTCGACGACAACATGAGTGAGGGTCATCGAGGTTTGATGCAAGACGTTGAAGCTAATCTCCTTTATTTACACGGTAGCTTTAATTCTCATCCATTAAACACTTGAATCAAATCAATTAATGATACAAATGTGGTGTAGTAAAAAGTACAATCTTGCGCAGTAACACACACAGTATTACTATATCACATACACGTGGAAAAAACTTCTTATATCCTGTTCAGTGGCAGCTTTGTGTCCTGTGTTACAGAGCGTGTGCATCCCATGAACCTCCCGTGTTGCACGCGGTCTAATTAACCAAAGAGGACGAACCCGTGGAGTCAAAACCGCGAGCATTCTCACTCCTGCTCCACAGCAATCACAAACACCGACTACTTAAACACCTAATTGACGCACGCACGGATCATAATAACCATTTCAGCTGCAGCAGTAAATTGGATGGAGGGTTTGCAGTCCCCTCCCTCGGCACCTGCTCACACCAACCCCCCCCCCCCACCCCCCTCCGCCGAACCCCACCAGCACCACCAGCGCCCGCTGACGCTTTAATAGAATCTCCCACTGGCGGCGTATGAAGGGATGGAGGGTCCTCTCCCGTCGGGGGAGTCCTGCCCCGCTCTACATCACACAGTCTCTACAGGTGACGGGCCGTCCTGCTGCCTGCCAAGTGAAAGAGGAAACGGGGGCCATTACTCGATGCTAATTTGTCATTCACATGAATGTTTTGCTGAGGAGGCTTTCAGGCCCCCCACCCCCCCCACCCCCCCTCCATCCACCCATCCCCCTCTTTGGAAGAGACATTTGTTTTTCAGCTGGAATATCCTTCTCAGTGACAGTCGGGAGACTGCGAGTATTGTTCTTTGAAGAAGAGGAGAAGCCCTCGGGGGCCGAAGGCCTCTTTTATTCCCCTCTCGGCGGTTTCCTTTGTGATGCGTCAGGTAGGGGTTCTATCGCAAGAATGAGATTTAAAAGGGAATTTAACCTGTGGAGCTGTTAAGTGTGAGGGCTACTATGCAGTTGGCATTTGTTTGAGAGTTAGTATTTGGTCCACGAAAATACACAGTGATCACACGGTCGGTATGACTCATCCTCCATTTTATGGAAATCCAAATATAGATTTATAATTCACTGGGTGGATGAATAAATGATTGTCTTAATGTCTTCCTGGGTTGTCTGCTAACTCGTTTTACCCCGTTTATATTCCTTGTTGAGCTGTAATTGTGCGCCGTGAGTGTTTGGCCTTCGAGAGCAGCAGTCTGGGAAAATAAAATGGCAAAATGTATTTTAGAGGCTGACCTCGTCTAGAGTTTTTTTAAAGGTTCTCGATGCAATATTCAGAACATTAACCATTGTGTACAGTGGAGCGACGTCTAATCGAGCAGAGAATAAAACTCACTCTCCCACCGCGTTTGATCCAATCTTTTCCTCTCGATGTCGGTTTCCCTCTTGGACTTAATGTCCGCTGGTTCCCACCTCAGTGCTTTAATCTTGATCAGGTGGACGGCGAGAAGCTCTCGAGTGAAGAGTCGGGTACAAAGGTGAAGTAAAGCTCTGAACAAATCAATTAAGCTCAGCCGTACTGTTCAGGGCCGATAAGGGAAGATCATTCATAATGTCTCCCTGCATGACGGACGTGTGATGAAATGATGAATGATGAAAGGCATTAGTCCAACTTGGTTGTTGAGTTTCCCATCATGCAAAGCACTGTTTTTCGGATGACTCGTCGATTGAGAAGGTTTGATCCGAGCTCCAGATTTTCATTCCATCCCGTTACCTGAGATAAGAGCTGTGTTTGACAGGACAAAGTCTGGGTTTTGTTCTGTTTACCTAGTAGACAGGTAAACCAGGGTTCAGTTAGATGACCCCTGTCCCAGGTGTGTGTGTCTGTGTGTGCGTGTGTGTTATTCTGCTTGTCTGTCAACAACAGAGGAAATGAGGTAATAGGTAAAGGGATGAAATGAACCAAACAAAACCAAATTGCGTGAATTTAAAATTGAATGAAGGAGTTCTCGTCCCCTGAGGCTACACATCTCAGAATAATGGGTGAAAGCCACAGGGGAGGCGAGGGGGGGGGGGGGGTTCCAGGCATTTGTATCAACAACAACTGCATGCAACATAAAAGTACGGTACATTACCTGCCCATCAACAAACAGCCGACCAACAAAAGGCATTTAGCGGCCATTGCACGAAAAATGCTTTTGGTAATATGCTGTTCGTTGAAACAGACTGAAACAGAAAGACATTCAACTCAACTTCAAATGAAAGCTAATGTGGCTTCACGTGGGCCATGAAACATGAAACATGTGTATACATGAAAACATGTCTATGAAACATGTCTATACAGGAAACATGTCTATGAAACATGTCTATGAAACATGTCTATACAGGAAACATGTCTATGAAACATGTCTATATATGAAACATGTCTATGAAACATGTCTCTATATGAAACATGTCTATACAGGAAACATGTCTATGAAACATGTCTATACATGAAACATGTCTATGAAACATGTCTATACAGGAAACATGTCTATGAAACATATCTATATATGAAACATGTCTATATATGAAACATGTCTATACATAAAACATGTCTATGAAACATGTCTATACAGGAAACATGTCTATGAAACATGTCTATATATGAAACACGTCTATACAGGAAACATGTCTATGAAACATGTCTATATATGAAACATGTCTATGAAACATGTCTATATATGAAATATGTCTATGAAACATGTCTATATATGAAACATGTCTATGAAACATGTCTCTATATGAAACATGTCTATGAAACATGTCTATACAGGAAACATGTCTATGAAACATATCTATATATGAAACATGTCTATCAAACATGTCTATACAGGAAACATGTCTATGAAACATGACTATACAGGAAACATGAATATGAAACATGTCTATATATGAAACATGAATATGAAACATGTCTATATATGAAACATGTCTATGAAACATGTCTATGAAACATGTCTATATATGAAACATGTCTATGAAACATGTCTCTATATGAAACATGTCTATCAAACATGTCTATACAGGAAACATGTCTATACATGTGACATTAGTGTTCATCTTCCCCCTTTATGGACAAAATAAATAGAAGAGGGCTTTAGATGCCGCACAGCTAATCGCACAAAAACTGTTCACCCCACAGAGGACGCAACGCCTCCCTCTGAATGACGGCCTCCTCAGAACCCGGCGGTGATCAATGGACCCGTTTCCGATTGGCGTGATGACAGTGATGGAAAGAAAAGGGGAGAGGCCGACGTTGTGTTGCATCCCTTCACCTCCACTAGGGCCAGTCACGCTCTATGCGTGGACGCGCGTGCGTGTGTGTGTGCGTGTGCGTGCGTGCGTGTGTGCGTGTGTGTGTGTATGCGTGTGTGTGTGCGTGTGTGTGTGTATGCGTGTGTGTGTGCGTGCGTGTGTGTGTGGAGCAGGGCCCGTCCTGAGGCGCTGCCGGCTGTTCGAGTCATTTACCTGAAGGCTGACCTCATTTGTTGCAGCGCTGCAGCCCCGGACACATGGAAGTCACATGACTAAGCCCTCCCTCTCCATATGGAACAAAAGCCTGCTGACCTTATTTTGACGGTATCCATTTGGGGCTTAACGCTGGGAAACTCTACTTCCTCTAGTGCAGAGGTTTATAACCTTCTCGCCTTATTTCCCTTTTGGCACTCTGGACCCCTCGTTGGGACGGAGGATGTTTAGTTTTTGTGTGTGTTTCAGTAGCGAACAGACGTAATAGTCTTCCACAAGCAGAACAGCTGAAGAGAAGGAATGTAGAAGTGGTGTTCAGGGCAAAAACAGCACAGTGTGTCTTTTCTTCAAAAGTCCTGTGTTGTTGAATGGAGTGTTTACCAGAAGAACACAGAACGCTGTTGTTGTTAGCGCCGTTAGCTGCTAGCCGCCGTCCCTTTAATCACAGATGGGCTCTGAATGGGTAATTCACCGCCTTGAATAGCGCGGCCGCATTGTACTTGGTGCCTTCGCTGAGCCGTATTTTTTCCGTACTCACTATTTTGCAAACATTCCGCACAAGGAGACGCAGCAGCGCGGGTCGAAAGCGAGCTCTGCTGTCGTTCCCACGGGACGCCAGTGTTTGTCTGTGTGACGCGTCAACATCAATCCCACTGAGTTCTCTTCATCCAGTCCCAACTCAGTGTGTGTGTGTGCACATCCATGGATGTAAATCACACACACACCTTTGCCAGTGCTTTAATCAGCATGAGCTCGTTAGACCCTTTTGCTGCAGAATCGTTGCAGTAGCGTGCGCTACCTTTGAGTAGAGGCTCAGTTGGCATGTGAGCAGGAAGATTAAATATTCTTTTCATGAGGGCATGCAAATTGCGTGAAATTAAATCACCTACTGGGGCGAGATGTACGCACCTCAATGTGATTCTGTATGCATGAGTGGAGGTTTTATGTTGATGTAAGTTATGGCTGTGCGGCCCTTTATAACCGTGCCAGCTTTACTGCTGACGGCTTTAGTTCCTCATTTCACATTTCAGCAACACGCGATCGGCGGTGTGTTTCTGTGTTTCTGTACAATAGATCCTCCGTTCTTATTTTTTTCATCGCGGGATGAGAGGATGCTGAAGTCTCACGTCCCACTAACGGTGACCTCACCATGTCTGAGCGGAGGGTGAGTCGCGGGTGAGGCCTCCCGTGACTCACCCCGGTTGACATTATTTGAGATGATGGACTTGCTGCTTGTCATCCTTTCCCTAAACAACTGGAGGGAAAAGAGTATAAAATGAGTAATTAGCGTACTATTTATGCTCTGAGCAGATTGTACAAATATTACTGTAAGATTAAAGTTGAATTTACATCATATTTGTGATTTGGCACGGAACATTACAAATGTTGTCTATAGGACACAACATTTGCTAGTTTAGTTTTTCTGTTTAAGGTTTAACTTGTTTTTCATTTAAAGTATTGGATTTGATTATTTCTATTATTCTATGATTTACTTATCTGTCATTTACAGCACAAATGTAGGTAAAAATAAGAATAAAATATGAAATTATGGATAAATCCCCAAAATAAACAAAACAGTGAATAAATTAATCAAGTACAGAATTATGATATTTGTTTGTCCTTCAGTACAAAAGAGTCCCATTGCTTGTGATTTATTTGGTGTTCAATTAAAGCATCTTTTCAGGACACAGGAATAAAACAGAAAAATAAAGTTGGAAATACTTTTCAGAACCCTGTTTGTTTCTTTCAGCCCGCGTGCAGCAGAAAAGGGTTCTGCAGAGAAACAACCAACTCCGATAGATGACGAGCGTCTGTGTCGGCTCCTCACTTCCTCCATCTCTTCTATCTCTTCTTCCATCCCTTCCTCCATCTCTTCTTCCATCTCTTCCTCCATCTCCTCTTCCATCCCTTCCTCCATCTCTTCTATCTCTTCTTCCATCTCTTCCTCCATCTCTTCTTCCATCCCTTCCTCCATCTCTTCTATCTCTTCTTCCATCTCTTCCTCCATCTCTTCTTCCATCCCTTCCTCCATCTCTTCTATCTCTTCTTCCATCCCTTCCTCCATACTCTTCTTCCATCTCTTCCTCCATCTCTTCTTCCATCTCTTCCTCCATCTCTTCTCTCTCTTCTTCCATCTCTTTTATCTCTTCCTCCATCTCTTCTCTCTCTTCTTCCATCTCTTCCTCCATCTCTTCTTCCATCTCTTCTTCCATCTCTTCCTCCATCTCTTCTTCTATCTTCTATCGCCTCTTCTTCTATCTGCATCTGATGTTCAAACACAGCGGGTGAGCAAACATTTGTCACATCAGTCGACGATATTCAAAAGAATTCATTTACTGACAAAAAGAAAATGACAAACAACTAATGGAACAATATATAAGAGGATTAGTGTTTGTGACAATATGAACCTCTACAGAGAGACAGAGGTCATTTTACTTCCAATTAGCTGTTAATTGGTTCATGCACTCTTCATAAATGTAGGTAACCCACCTTCAGCCTGCCCCTCGTCATCCTCAGATCAGCCTCTTCCCTCTTGCCTCCACTCCTCACCAATTTGACACTAATTGCTCTTTGTCGAGATCAAACCCGCCTCGCCGCGTTCCCCTTTTCTCCGCTCACCCCGAAACGCCGTCTGACAGCCGACAGTCGCTGAAAGCGGCTTCACATCTCGCACACCAGACAGGTATCGGCTACGACGGGATAAAAGCCTGATTTAATATTCAAATCAATTTCTGATTTTTATGGCCTACCTGCCATCCTCAACCTCCTCGGCTCGCCTCGCCCTCCAGAATGACACTTTAATCTGCCAGGTATTTGAAGAAATGAGCTCATAGAAACGTCATTGACAGTAAAATGTGCCTCCGTCTTCCTTCTCCCCCCCCTTGGTTTCGTTCCATAAGAGAACAAACACCCCGCGGCTCTTCTCCAGCTCCAGTCTTGACCCACATGTGAACATCGCGCTACTTTACGGGGGAGTTGACCCACGGCGAGGCCGCCCGCTCGTCTCTTTCCACCTCGCTGCGAGCGCTGGCAACACCCGGAACAAGGGGAGCGCATGAAGGATTAAATTATGAATGGAGAGCCAGCCAGGCAGAAGCAAACGACCGTGATAATGGCATAACAGCACATTTCATTTGCAGATAACTGCAATGTGGGGGCTTTTAAGAGGCTCGTCTCACGCTGGCATTTTTAATGAAATTGGCTAAATCGTGGCCGATGCCACCTTACAGCCTGCGAAGAAACTGGACGTCTTAATGGTTAAGATCATCATTGGAAAACAGGAACCGGCGTTTCGAGTATTATGAGAGATGCGCGTCTCAATCGAAGTCGGTTTCCATGTGTTTGAAGGGCTTTTAGTTTTAGCAGGAACCATTCAGACGTGTATCATCTGGAGCCGTGGGGCCAAAGATACGAGACTCGTACGCTTAGAAATCATTCATCCTGACACACAGATACATTATGAAGTCCAGGGTAACACCTTATGTGACGCAATGAGCGTAGCAAAGAATGTGCGGATGAACGTTGTTCATGTGGCCTTCTTATCTGATTCAGGGATTATTGAGATAACATGCGGTTGAAGGGTCAGTGCGTCGCATTTCGAGGGATTTGTGAGCACAAATTAAATATAGCATCATATAATAAGAAGCACATAGTGAGCAAGGCCTCTGCTCGCCATGTTAGAGAAACAGGTGAC